GATAGTAGTAGGAGGTTTAAAAATCAATGAAAAACAAGTACAAGACGTTCTTTTTGGTACCTAAACACAACGCACAGTGCAGTGGAGACCTTTGAGAAGGGCATGCGATGGGGTAGGGCATAACCGCAGAGGGCGCCAAGGGCCCTGGGCCAAGAGAGACGCAGACAAAGGCTGGAGGGAGGAAGAAGCCTAAGGGTTCTCGCACAGCTCGGCTCAAGGTGTGCACAGAGGGAACCAGGCTACAAGATTAGAGTACAGATCAGAAGGAGTATGTGCCACCAGTCGGGGGAATCTTCACAGGCACAGCCACGAGGGAGTGACCTGAGCTGAAGAGTGACCACAACACTCAGGGTGGGGTTGCCAGAAGCCAGTCAGGGGCTGTGTGACAACCCAGAAGATCCAGACACTGGGTTGGGGGTGGGGTGGGGGGGCAGGAAAGAAGGGATCAAGTCAGGAAGGATTACTGAGGTAGGAAAAAAACCAAATCCTTTTTGGGGATGTGTGTGTGCAAGACAGAACAGTTACAGTAACTTGTTTCTACACGGAAATGGTAGAGAATAAAACGTTCCCAGTGAAAACTTTCCTAGGGAGGTTAGATCATTCAGATGGACAAAAACCACTTAATTAAAAGGTATCAGGACACAGAGCTGTATTTCAATAGCAAAGACCTCTCAACCAGGACTATATAGTTGGTACGGGACCAAGATTGAAATCTCCCAGTTGGCAATAGTTTTCATACACTATCTATGTTTTCCTTTCCCCAGCCAATTTCAAGATTACTTTCCTTTTGGTCGAAAAAATAATGATGATAATCTTGGTGAGATCAAAGATAGTGAGGGAACCATTTTAATGCGTAATCAATCTGCCACAGTTACCTTGCAAGCAGACTTCTTTTTCCTGTCAAATATAATCGTTCCAAATGTTGAAAGAGTAATCAAAAACTTCAGGACACATTTTACATTAAAAAACATATATATATCTATGTATGTTAAAAGAGTTTACTCTGGTTGCCTGAACTTCAATGTGTTGCCAATTTTTAAAGGTTGTGTTTTGAGTGCAATCTCTTTTAGCAAATCAAACCAATACTAAGCAACAATCTATGCAACTATAATGACAGTGACAGCCTTGAAATGTTAATTGAATTTGGATAATTCATTTGAATTCCGAGGGAAGAGAAACCGCTCAAAGACCTGCACTTTGAGTGCTTAGACCAACAACTCAAGAAGGGGGCAAAAATGAATGTCCGTACCTCCTTCCAAACTGTAACGGGGACTTTTGGGGGGTGGGCACCTGGACCCACAAGTCAGAAGCGCTGCATAATCATCTTCCGACATGAAAGCAATGTCAAACATTCCTGCAAAACATGAGTGTGTGAAGCCACCCGTGTGAAATGAGGAAGAACCATGTCCCCTGGGAGGTTCAAGTATCTCGGAACTGTTTTGATAGGAATGGCTAAGTGCCGATGACAGAGACGGAAACAGTTGCCCGAGGAGCAGAGAGGGACACTGCCGAAGGGAGCAGAGATCTCATTCGTCCCATGTTTTTCCTTGAACTGAGGCTTCCTTCTACCAGAATGGAATTGCACTGGGCAGACTTCTATATTTCACAGGCAATAAAAATAAGCGATACTAAACAGAAAGAAAGACGTTCCAGGGCAATAAGCTAGAAAAGAAGCAGAAGGCAGGGCAAGTGAGGCGTGGCCTCCAGACGGCCAGTTCTAGCCCGCGTGTGGGGTGCCTGGGGCCCATGGGAAGAGTGGACGCAGGAGCAGGGACAGCGGCAGTGAGCAGCAGACCTTAGCTACAGTGGTTGTGGTTTTCCTATTGCTCCTGGGACTAAACACGTTCTTTGTAGTTAAAGAGGACTCAGCTGCCACGGCACCCGTTTCTCTTAAAATCTTAATTTATCTTCACTGCTTCAAGTGTGAGAGCACAAACCTCTTCACGAATCAAGACAAAAATGTCTACTCCTTGGTATTTCTGTTTCTGTTCCACTGTCTTCCCACTGACTTCAATTAGATACTGGGTCCGTAGCATGTAGGCTTTTACTTTATTTAGCTGTATGTACTGTATATAGACACTATACACATCCAGACAATATAAATAAGATCTATACACACCCACACATGCATAAGTGAATCTGTAATTTGCTTCAATGGAAGATTAATCACACCCACACACCCACCATACCCAGATACTTTGTAGTCCGGAAAAGCTGAAAAATAGTGACTTAAAAAGACATCTTGTATTCTATTGTTTTCAACCTTAGAAAAAAGTTATGGCAATAAAGTTATTTATTTATTTTTTTTTTTACTTTTAAAAATTGGGATCTTTTATTTTCGTTCCTGAGTCTAATTTTAAATGGGAACTAGACTCTAAAATGTCAAATTATAAACAAGCTTCTCATGTCTCTTGATGGCTGTAACCACAGGTGACTCAGTAGTTCTAACACGGGGTGGGGGGCACTCAAGGAACTATTCTTCTCCCCTAGTTGTACGATTTAGAACGACAAGGGGCAGAATCATTTTTATTTAAGTTCTTAAGTACTCAAATCAATAAGAAGATTAAGACCTTTATTTATACTAGTTGATAAATTATGAGTTTGCAGTATGGACTTCAACCAAACTCCAGCTTGAATCTATCTTTAATGAGCCCAAACTTCCCGGAATAAGTCTCTCTAAATATTATCTTTGCTGGGTGTTAAGAGTAACTAAGACAACTCCTCTCGATGACTTATATGGCTTTAACTTTAACCTCAAAAATTCCAAAACTCCCATGGTGATGAGAGAGAGAGAGAAAGAGTGTCTCTGTGTGTGAAAGAGTGTGTGTGAACAAGAGAGAGAGAGAGAGAGAAGGGGGGGAAGGAAAGGAGAAATAACAAACTTCTACGAGTCCTCATAAATTATCTATTTAAATCATAAAAGTTACAATTTTAAAAAGGCGAGGGAAGGGAAGAAGAATAAATTAAGAAAGGACATGGTCACTAAAAAGCCCGAGCCAGTTATCATTCGCTAGTTAGGGAAGGGTTGACAAGGGTTTCGCTCTTCAGATTTTCTTAAGTCTACACTAGAGAGATTTCTTGGGCCGCCAAGCAATAGCACATGATTCCATTTTTTATGGCGCTCTCATCTATTGTGATTCACGTGGAGAAGCAAAGGCTTCAATGACAAGATTTTACAGATGGTCAGAGCTGTGTAGTCATTGTCAGCTTTCAGGCTATTTCATCTGCTAGGGACCAGGGGAGAACCAGGGAGCAACCAGTGACCCTCAAGATAATCAGCATGGAGGGAGGTGGGAAGGGCACAGGAGTAGGGACAGAGTCAACGGCAAGCCAGCAACAGAGGCAGAAAATATAAAATTCTAACACTAATTCTAGAACTCATAATACCGGTCAAGACAGAACAGGACCACCTGGATGGTTGAGTCCGTTAAGCATCAGACTCTTGATTTTGGCTCAGGTCGTGACCTCACAGTTATGAGGTGGAGCCCCACACTGGGCTCTGTGCAGGGTGTGGAGTCTGCTTGGGTCTCTCGCTCTCCCCTTCTCTCTGCCTCACCCCCACTCTCTCTCAAAAAAAAGTTTAATAAGTTAAAACCAAAAAATAAGTTGTACCAACAAAGAAGCCTTTGAACTCTAAGGGAAAAGCTCCACCCCTCCCATTCTGCTTTCTCACTCTTACATGCAGAAGCAGAGAATTACTTTGTGGTTAACATTTTAGGAGAAAGGCTGTTTGATGACAGACTTTATGAATGGTTTCTGCTCAGAGAATTATGAGTTTTAAAGAAAGGTGTTTATGAGCATTTTTATCCTCATCTTTCCATTTAATTAAAAAAATTCTGAGTTATAACTAGGAGAAAGAGAAATAAAAATAGGGGTTTCTGCTATCATCAATTTGTAGTTTGGGTCAATGAATACACCTGTAGCTCTGTCGTTGGCTCACCATGAAACACAAAAAGGAAAGAAAATTACATTTTAAGCACCTGAAGTTATGCGTGCACACAAGGACTGTAAAAGCATAGCTTCGTTAATCCTTCAAACCCTCCTCTGACCAATCAGAAATCCTATTTTATATCGGAGTTCACCGGGTGCCCCCAAAGCTAAGCAACATCCCTAGAGTCAAGGGAAAATCGGACAGCAGGTGTCCACGTGCTTTTTCCAATACGCCTGGGTGTCCTGCGTTTATATTTCATTATATAATTTTACTGCTGAAGATACAGGTATCTGTGCCTAGGCAGTGAAATCAGCTTCTTCACCCTTTTGTGCTGAAGCTAATATTATACTGAGCTGGCGTGCCCCCACGCCGGGCTGTGTGAGTAGATAAAGGAAGTAGTTGTAGGATTGCGAGTTTGCCTGGTATACGAAATGATGAACTTGGGAAGACTGCACGCACGTTGGGAAAAGCGTAATAGGTCTAATGGGAGACAAACAAGGTTAAGAGGGAAGTGGGGGGGAGGGTAGGGCGGCAGAATGTGGAGGTGAGGGGTGATTCTGTTACGGGGGGGGGGGGGGATCCAAAGGAGAGCCTTTCCTCATACTCTGTGTAAGACTGACTTCTAAAGTCTCTTTTTCAAGAAACCACACGTCTAGAATGGGGGGGAAACAGTGATGCTTCTTACCAAATTTTCATTTCCTGCCTAACACGGATAGAGCTGCAGCCTGAAGAGACCCTGCTGGACAGCACCGCTGTCTGCCCGCCTCTGAGCCGGGGCCACACTGCCTCCCTTGCCGGCCGCAGTGTAGACTTCTGCAGGTAACCAAAAACGACGAGCGGCCTGTCTCCCACACATGATGTCACTAAGCTGCCAGATTTTAAGTCAACACACTACCACACTGTGTTGTTCCGCTAGTGATAAAAAACAAACGAACAAACAAAAAACAGCAAGATCAGAGCAAGGCACAGGTCTTCCAACAGATTTTTTAAAAGAAAGGGAAAATACTTAGGAATAAGATTTCTGATGATTTGGCTGATGACTGTCTTTGTCACCCATGTGCTTTTCTAGCTTGAGAATTATATCCAGGACAACATGAAGAAAGAAATGGTAGAGATACAACAGAACGCAGTACAGAACCAGACGGCCGTGATGATAGAAATAGGCACAAACTTACTGAATCAGACAGCAGAGCAAACACGGAAGTTAACGGACGTTGAAGCACAAGTAAGTGATGAAACAGAAAACCCGTAACGGTCTGGGCTAGTAACTGCTAGCGAGAAACTGCACTGTGTGGCTACTTAGTTGGATACTGGGCGAGGGAAGAAAGCTCGAGTGCAGCAGGAAAAAAGAGGAGTTGATAAGAAATTAACAATTTGTGGCTGGACAAGAATTTAAAATATGTTCTCATTTTTAATACTGAGGTTAAATTACATTTTTTTTCTACGAAGGACATTCAAATCATTTCATATGATGCACACTTGACACTCTATGAGAAATGCTCCTTTGCCTTGCTGGCATCCTCTGGACTCTAGATAAGTCCTCAGATTTTCATTTAAGAAATGAAAAGCACTGGGGCACCTGGGTGGCTCAGTCAGTTGAGCATCCGACTCCTGACTTTGGTTTGGGTCATGATCTCATGGTTGAGGGATGGAGCCCCATGCTGGGCTCTGTGCTGACAGTGTGGAGCCTGCTTGGGATTCTCTCTCTCCCTCTCCCTCTCTGTCCCGTCCCCTCCCCCCCAACACACAAACTCTCAATCTCTCTCTCAAAATAAATAAAATTTAAAAAATGAGTACAAGAAACTTTCTTCTTTTATTTTTTAACATTTATTTACCTTGAGAGAGAGAGAGAGAGAGAGGCAGGCAGAGAGAGAGGGAGAGAGAGAACCTCAAGCAGGCTCCACACTATCAAAGCGGAGCCAGACATGGGGCTCAAACTCACGCACCCAACCGTGAGATCATGACCTGAACCGAAATCAAGAGTGGGACACTTAACTGACTGAGCCACCCAGGTGCCCCAAGTGACTTTGTTCTTAAATCTAACTTTCAAGATAAAATCAAATCTCAAAGAACTATGGAAGCAGTTTGTGGTATGAGTTTCTAAAATCTGTGGTATGAGGTTATAGACAGAAGCAAGCAGCAGTTCTGGCACAGGGGGCTTGGCCATCAGCAGGAAGTCTTGAGTTCTCTAATGGGTCTGGTTTCACCATCACCTGGGGAGTGAATCTGCATATGGGACTCGGCTCTTGCGGGCCTTGGCAGTTCGAACTATCAAGTGAGGGCTGGGTCCAATGACTGGCTTCTAAGTTCCCTTTTAGCTTTCAGGTTTTATGAGCTGCTGATTAATCGCAGCAGGAGAGAAAAACATGAACATAAGAAAAGAACAAGAGCAAAACAGTGAACATGAGAACATTAAAACACAATTCATCCAGAGTCCGGCCAAACGACATACAACCTGTGACTGAGTAAGGATAGTGCAGGTGGGAGGGGCGCCTGGGGGGCTCCGTCTGTTGAGCATCCGACTTCGGCTCAGGTCATGAATTCGCGGTTCGTGGGTTCGAGCCCCAGGCCAGGCTCTGTGCTGACAGCCCAGAGCCTGGAGCCTGTGTCAGATTCTGTGTCTCCCTCTCTTTCCGCTCCTCCCCCGCTTGTGCTCTGTCTCTGTCTCTCAAAAATGAATAAATTAAAAAAAAAATTAAAAAACAAAAAAAGAATAGTCCAGGTGGGAAAAAAGTGCTGTTGGCAGAATTTGCTGAGATGCTCCTAGTTCAAGTCTCAACATTGGTACATCTGCTTTCTGGTCTCTTTATAACCTTAAGAAGTTAGTACCTTCCTACTCTCAGTTTTAAGTAATGCTCAAAAAAAAAAAAAAAGTAGATTTAATAGCAAATACTTTCTATGATGTATTATTATTTCCATATGCTACTTCAGCTGAAAGAAATGCCAGACATGAGCCAGAAGGGGACATGGGGTAAGAGAAACTACAAGCCTCCCAACTGTAATAAGATCACATCTAGAAGAGTACAGGTATTTTTTCCTTGTCTCCATAAGAAGTGTTGGATAAAGCAGGGTAAACAGTAGGAAGCAGTAGGAGAATAAAACACTTTTATCTGAGGCTAGACTAAGAAGTTACTTCTTTACCAAGTCTTTCCACAATGTTACAGTAGTGTAGAAAAAATAGAACTGTATCACATGATGAATTCACAAGGTATGAAAATTGTAATCCCAAGAGGTGATACAAGTGAAAAATGAAAAGATAAAAATTTTAATGTAAGTGTATCAACATATCTGTAGTTAATTATTAAAATAAATTAGTAATGCCTAAGTCACACCGCTCACCGTTTGATAGCAAAGCTAGCGGGAAATCAAGCTCATTCAAAAAATGTCTGTTGAGTAAACATTTCTCATATTTTCTGATAATGGTAATAAAGTGTAAAACACAGAGCAACGATTTATTTCTTTTTCTTTTTTTTAACGTTTTTATTTATTTTTGACAGAGAAAGACAGAGCATGAGTAGGGGAGGGGCAGAGAGAGAGGGAGACACAGAATCCAAAGCAGGCTCCAGGTTCTGAGCTGTCGGCACAGAGCCCAACATGGGGCTCAAACTCATGAACCGTGAGATCATGACCTGAGCCGAAGTCGGATGCTTAAATGACTGAGCCACCCAGGTGCCTCAAAAAAGCAATGATTTAAACCTTTGCTACATCCTGTCTAAGTCAGTTTTTCTAGCTTTTATTAAGCTTTGGTTGGATCACATGATTTTTAAAACATCAATTGTGAAACTAGGTATCACATGATCTATGGTAACGGGAAAATCAGAAGATGACTATAAAGAAATCAGCCTATAATGTCCAACTAAACACATTAAAATGTCTGAACCTAGAAAAGGGACCAAATTATGCACCAAATCTATTTAAGGCATTTGTTGAGCAATTACTGTGTGAAACGGGTTTAAATCCAAACCCAAAATTTTCTGACTAGAAGATTCTTCTAGCCTGTCAGACTCAGAGGCTATTGAACTGGACAATGAGGGACAGGTAGAGATCAGAGGTCTTACAGACCAGAGACAACCACCTGACCTGGATAGACAGTCACCTGCTCTGGAGGCCTTTGGAAAAGTGATGGAAAAACATCGCAGTTGATCCTTGGTTGGTCAGGACCTATATGCCCTCCTCCCTATCTCTGGCCCATTGTGCTAATTTCCTAGCCCTTAGTAATTAAATAAAAGACCCAAGTTTCCAGTTCCTTTTAGAAATAACTGACATAGAATATTTGGGCCCAAAGAAGATGTAGGCCAAATCTATATTCCAGGTGTTAATATTAAAACCCAACCTTTCTGCTAGCTAATGCCGTCATTCATTCAACAAGAATGAGCTCATGGTATGAACTCATCCAGCTTTGACCAAGGACAGGACTGTCCCTAAAGCTGCTCAGTGGGGCCAGACCAGGCCTTTTATGAATGACACAGACCCTGAACAAACAATGGTTCTCTCAAGGACCCTTATTCCTGGGCAACAATTCTGCCTTACACTTACACGTGATGTCACATCCTGAATAACCACAACCCAGAGGATGTGAGTAACAGACTCTTCCTGCTAGAAGGTAGCCGAACGCCAAAGAAGTCATCCTTAAAGTTGCTGGAACACGACAGGAACAGTGACAGTGCATATGACAGGGCCCGGAGAGCAAAACTGAACTTCATAGTGATGCATTACTGTTTCCCAACTGGCTGACATGACTTTTAAAATTAAAAAAAGAGAGGAGAGAAGTGGAAAAGAAAAAAAATGAAAGGCTAACCAAGTGAATACAAAGTAGGAAATGCTGGGCTAAAAATGAGCTATATTTGGCGCGCCTGGGTGGCTCTGTCGGTTGAGCATCCCACTTTGGCTCAGGTCAAGGTCTTGCGGTCCGTGGGTTCGAGCCCCGCGTCGGGCTCTGTGCTGACAGCTCAGAGCCTGGAGCCTGCTTTGGATTCTGTGTCTCCCCCTCTCTCTGCCCCTCCCCTGCTAACACTCTGTCTCTCTCAGAAATAAACA